TTCAGTTCAACGGCGATCTTCAGTCCTGAATATGTTGCCAACAAAACGGCTGACTGCAGGCAAGATATATTACCGTTTGTCACTTGGACTCCGTAACAAACACAATCAGCACTGACAACTAAAGGTGTAAACAGTCTACCTATCGCCCATCTGCAGAAGCATAATATATCATTAAGAACATCATTAATGAATTATAGACGGATCTTCCCTTTCACAACGACAAACGTTCAGCGGTAACACGCAGTATGACACAAAAAATACCAACTTCGCAGAGCAACACCAATCCAACGTTCTTCTGTTCCGTTGTCATACAGTAGTTGGCAGCTTTGCTTGAAATGTCCGCAAAGTATATTCCTTTGCCAAACATGTAGCCGGTCGAGGGTGCCTCTGGAGGCGCGATTTTCAAGCCGGAACATAAAATGCTGTACCAGTTGACAAGACGGGAGCCGTGCCACAGTAGCATGCTAAAACGATAAACCGGTAAAAGCGAAGTTCTGAAAGTGCAAAAGCAATTAGGTCATACGTACTGATTGTTTATGTCATAGAAACCGTCGTTTTCATTTTCTTTGCCATTCTTGCGGTGGCATTTAAAGAGATCTATCAGTTTCAACTTGAAAAACACATGAGTCGGGCCATGGGTGTTGTGGAGATACGCCTCAATGATCTGTAAAGTTAACTGTCAGTAATCGTTCGAAACGCTCAAACATAAACGTATGTTACGCCGAATTCGTTGGAGGAATGGCCTATCGCCTCCAAACTGTACATCATTTGGTCATATTTCATATCAATGGGATTCTTCTTCGACCCGGACATTTTTTTAATGGTTCGTACGGTTACTTCAGCATCAGATAGTACTTCCAGCAGAGCGATCTCAGTCTTAACCGAGTCCAAATCGGTAATCAACGGCGGTCTACGCATCCTTAATTAGCGATGTCAAAATTAGCGTAATAGGGTGATAATAAAACCAAAATAAACTCGTACCCGAAACAATGAGGGATACGCGTATAGTATTCATTGCACGCATTGGCTAAAGCGTTGCGAGATTGCTTCGCAGCCTTAATGCAGCGCTCGATCTTCTTCAGCGATTCGTAACCAGCCGTGATCTGATCCCGGGTGAGTTTCCCAAGAGGAAGTTTGGACGCGTCGAACCGCATTTCCTTCAGACAGTCGTCCATCGTCTGCATGTCGCAGATGAGGTTTATTACTGCCTGCAACTTTTTGTCCAGTTTCGAAGGTGGCGTTCGCCGACTTTTCTTTAAACGACTTTTACCATTCCCTTTTTTCTCATCGTTTTCTTCTTCCTCGTTGCTGTAGTTTACCTTCACCAAATCATATTTGCCAGGAACGCTTTCGAACTCTGACCGGTTCCCCCATTCGTTTAACGTTTTAGCAAAAAACTTCTCGCAGAACAAACGCTTTGCCTCTTCAACATCGTCTCCGCATGAAGTTAACATACTCTGACCCTGAAAAAGAAAGAAAACAAGTTCAAATGTAGCCAGAAGAACAAAGTTTTCATTTTTAAGTTAAAAGAACGACTCGAACTAGATACTACAGAGACTATCATTGCTAACTACTGTGATTACTACTAATGAATAGTGGCAATGCAGCATAACTACAACCAGTAATAACTTCAGTCATGATAGTCTCGGTAATCGTAGTAATAAAAGTACTACTGGTACAACAGCGACACAATTCAACTTCCACGATCATTCTCATCGCCACTATGAATTGCGGCATGATAAATACTGTTTGTTTAGCTATTTTTTTAAATTTACCCTTATTCTTTATTTATGTTGAAAAGTAAGATTCTTCAGCGATCGTATTCAATATGGCGAGTAGTCTGAACATCACTTATGCGCAAAATTTCTACCAAGGGCTAGGGAGCTACAGTACTTTCCTTAAAAACCCTTCTATTTTTAGCAAGATCGATTTCTGTAGTTCATCCACCGAGATTGATTCACTAGTTGACTTTAGCAGGCGGTTATGCCTTCTTTCCACTGCTCCAATGACAGTGATCACCAGAAGAGTGACATCCGTCTCTACTTTCCAGATCTTCTGCATTTTCATTCTCAGTTCTTGATATTTCGGTACCTTTTCTTTCCCCATAACGGCAGCACTGCCATCAGCCACGCATGCTACGTCAGTGATTTGCTTTGTAACTAACAAGATATCCAGACTATAAACCAATATTTCATTCCCAGTTTGTATTTAAAAGTCCCAGAGTATATGCCCTTGCGCAGTCCCTTCTACCGCTGTCGAAGAGCGAAGTCACTTTCCAACATTGCTTTGTCACTGGTAAGTCAGCCGGCTTGCACAAATGCCTTCAGATTATCCTTGCAAGACTGTTATGCCTTTCTCACTATTTTAGATTCGCTGGTACTTCACAGCCGAAACTTATGTCAGTCACAGCTTCATCCTTCATTTGACACATCCTGTACTTTGCTTCTGGTTGTGCATTCAGGATCTTATATGAGTTCATATTCATAGTCTTGGGCAGTTATTAGAAGGGCTACCGTTTCGCGATGGAGTCCACTTCTTTATAGTCAGCTGAAACTTTGGTGAACGTCTACGTCTTCACCGAGTTGGTAAAGATACTGTCCAAGAAGCTCCTTATTCTTCTAACACCATTCTTTTTATTTTCGAACGGTTTTCCAAACAAATTTCTAGCAGTTTGCTTTCCTAGTTGACACAAGGGTTAACCTTCAAAGCCGCCAGCATCCCGTCGTTCACTTTCGGTCGCAGATATTTCCCAAAGTTGACTCTCTAAATCCAGCATATTATTGATACTACAAAGTCCACTTGCTGCTTCTTTCCGTCAGACATATTATGTGTGTCTGCTTCTGGACGTACCATTCCGTAGATGTTCAAGATCTTTGTTTTCTTTCAATCCGGTTCTAACCTTGGGCTTGGATCCATTCGACGATGCCTCCTTCATAAGCAAGTACTGCTATAGTGGACTGGTTAATAAGTACCGTTTCGTTCTTCTCGCGCAACTCGCTCTTCCGGATTCAGCAGATTTCGTCATCGTGTTTCGTCTTTATCATTAGTTTCGTTTTTTCATGTAATATATTGTCAGGTTCTGACACGCCGAAATATTTGTAGGACTGTTATCCCTACAAGCTGTTTCTTTTACTAGTCGGTAGCGTAAGTACGTCGTAAGCATTTCCAGATCTTTCCCCTCTTAATCTCGTCCATAACATGTTTATTCAATCGAATTCCATCGGACAATCTACCGAAATGATTCTTGTACTTCAGATCAGATTATACTGTTTCATATTTAATGTAAGGAGCATAATAAATTTAATTGGTACGATTATGCAACTAAACAAAAATTATACGGATAATTAATGATAATCATTAATTTTATAACTAACTAGGGATTTGGGCACGTCTTTGTATATGCTTCTAGAGGGAAGGTAAAACAACTAGTATTTCCTTAACCGAGCGGAAAAACCCTGCGAACGATCGAAAATGACATAGGCACATGTCTCAGAGCTCGGTTACACACTCGAAGTTCAAACGCTGACTCAAAACAAGAAAATTAGAGACACGGTCTGACACGCCTTCCTTCAACACTTAAAAAGATATTCGGTCATGAAAACTGACTGACTGAATGAATGAATGAACGAACGAACGAACGAACGAACGAACGAACGAATGAATGAATGACTAATTCGTATAACAGCGAAAATAACATGAGTTTCTCCATGTGGGAGAGGCATGAAAA